TGTGCTGATATACCATGGTGTATGCTTGGTGATGTGATGATATACCATGGTGTATGCTTGGGGATGTTGGTTGTACTATATGTATGATGCGGTGTCCAGTAAGTCAAATCTTGTTTCATTATCAAGGAAAAATCCAAATCTTCTGTAAAACTCGTTCGTAAAGTAACAAATGAATCACCAGTACTGAAAAAGGAAAAAGAAAAACCAGAAAAGGAAGAAAAAGAAAAACAGTTATCTAAGAAGGTATATTGTCGTCTATCCCACTGGCTTTATCTACTCCCATAGTTTAGTTGACTCGTTTTTAGTGACATAGTACATGATGTATTCATACTTGTTGCTTTGTGTTTATAGAAAGAAGTTCGGCATGGAGATTCCAAAGACAATGATATCAAGGATGAAGAATCCAAGTCACGTAGACAATATCCTTTAAACCATTAACATACCTACTTACTTAGCCCATCGCCCTCCTGGGATAACCATTGATATATATATATATATATATATATATATATACATCATTCACACCACTGTTACCAATATAGCAAGCAACAGATTGCATTCATATTTTTCCTTCTCCCCTTAATCCTTCACGACCTCCCTCCCTTCACGATACGTGTTGTATTGGACACAGAGAACATGTTTTTATTCCTTAATGCTTGTTACTCATCGATCATCATCGCGGAGAACTTGACAGTAATACTATTATTAGGAATCAGTTAGTCAGATAGGCAGTACTAAATACTGTAGTCAGGGCCAGTGAGAAGTGATCTATCATACGCTGACATCGTGTGAACGGCTAATGACTTCTTCAATTTCTTTAATGTTGGCATTTTTTGTAACATAAAAAACTCGTTCAACGCTAATTTTTAATCGACAAACTAAGTATACACTACTTTAAGTAGTCACAGTGAATGGTCCCATAGCGGAACCTTGCGGTACTCTAGGACTTATCCATATATGGCGTAACAAGCAATGCTTGTAACTGCTTGAAAAGGAACAGATTTTTATAATTTCTTTATGATAGATTGTTTTTAAGAATATCGTGTGTCAGAACATGCTGAGAAGTCAGTTATTAATTCCATGGTGTTCATAAATCCATGCACGCTGCCCAGTGTTTTATATTTGTTATATGCTTACACGTAATTGCTGCAAATAAAAGCTTTGTAAATTAACACGAATAGTTTTTTCGAATTCATCCTTTATTTTCTACTAGTAACATTTATTTATCATTCATTTATTTAATGAGTTATTTATAGTAGCAGTGGCTCGTCGGTCCTTTTACTCGTTCAAGTTCCTGGTAGTTTCGTGATAAACTGTGTAGCATATTTCGTAGTGTCTTTAGCGCTGTTTGCTGGCACCGCCACCACGCTTCCTGTTCTCATCAATCCAATAACTAGTTTCTTGCTCAGATATTTTTTGGACATATAGTTATCGCAAAACTGTTTGGATAAGGTATCTTTGAATACACACTCTTCGTTTTCAGTTTTCTGCAATGGAAATGAGCATTGTTAAATTGAGTTTGGTTCAACCTTCCACCTTGGACACTTTTCGTTTTGTTAGATTGCGCAGTTCTAGGGAGCCCAGATAATATTAATAATATATATTATCATAATATATATCTAAAAACTATTAAAAACTTTAATATATATTTAAAAACTATGTAACAAGTTTTACCGGCGTTTGCATTGCTACGCGGCCACCCCAGACAAAAATCGCGACGTGTACTTTGCAATAGACTGCCGTCAATCAAGCACGTTGACGCCATTTACACGCGTGTGTGATTTAAAAGGCGCTAAAACTTGTCGATTGTTCACAAGTATTATAAGCCACACTCACCCGGGCCAATCCAAACGCGTGTAAATGACGTCAACTTGTTTGATTGACAGCARTCTATTGCAAAGTGCACGTCGCGATTTTTGTCTGGGGTGGCCGCGTAGCAATGCAAACGCCGGTAAAGGGTTTTTATTGAAGGTGTTGGAGATTCTTACCGTTGTATAGACCTCGCCCTCTGACATGGCAAGAAATAGTCCTGTATAAACACTTCGTATACAAACAAGGTTTGTGCCAGCTGGAACTATTTCCATGACAACTGGGAAACACACCAAAATAGACACGTGACATGATCGTAAGTAATTAGTGATTATCTAATGAGAGGAGATGACTAGCTAAAAACAAGTGTGAGCTGTGTCGGTGTTTCTAATGAAACAGTAATGATAAAAGGGTAAGTTATACACCGTGAAAAGATGAAAAAAATACGTATCGGACGCTAGTCCTTCGTCTTTTACTCCGACGAAGGACTAGCGTCCGATTTCGAAAATAATATTATTTGAAAGGGATTTTCTAGTTTGAAGCAAGCGATTTTTGATATTGTGAGTATTTCGTCTTGCGGTAAAACATTAACCGACATTGGAATTTTCCGACGTTACAACTTTAAAATTCAATGACTTTTTAAAGAAGCAAAATATCAAAAATCGCACACACCCTTTTGCAGTTTATCTTTTGCTTATTTACATAGTGAAATTCTTTTGGCTATACGCGCTAACGCCATGTCCATTAATTCACCTCTACTGAACGTGTCCGATTTGTGTTTAAGGCTCGACATTGTTTCAAATTAGAAAATCGCTTTATCACATTATCTTTAAAACGATATGTACTTTCATGGGGTTTTGTTTAACGTTTTGCGTACAGAGAGTCTTAAACGAAACACACCCCTGAAGGTCTCCAGTAACCTTAACGAGTATTGCGCATACCATTACTGTTTGGTTATTGGTGCCTAGTAGACCATTTGATTGATATAGGCTGTTGTCATACCTAGAGGACTGTGCTCATTCATAGTGCCTTTCACTCTACCATTATGGTTGATTTCCAGATAGAGTCCATTTGTGCAGTACAGTCTTCTCTTTCTAGACGTAAACAAGGTAAGATCAAACTAGATTATTAATATTTAAGAAACAGAAAACGCGCGCGCGTGCTGTGTGCAGTTATAAAGCACTTGGGGGTTGGCAGAACACGAGAGAAGTGTTAGGACTCGACACTTCTCGAGTGTTCTGCCAATCCCAAGTGCTTTTTAACTCCAAACAGCACAGCAAGTTTTTTATGTCTTTTATAAAATACGAATTACAATAACCGTTATTTTAGATAAGAATGGTGCAACTGAAAGTGCGCACGCGTGCTGTGTGCTCTTATAAAGCACTCGCTCCCAACCAATTAGAACGCGAGATTTAGAACAGTAATTTTCTAACCTTCTTCACATCATGCCGTGAGGTCATTAACAGTATTTTAGCAATAAACTGTGTTTTTAGTTACAATGCCATGTAACGTACGATTTTGTGACCTTATAATTACAGAGGGTAGATGACATCATACCTGCTGTAAGTGGATGTCGAACGAGAAGGCAGATATGGAACACTGTCAGATTGCTTATCCATCGTCATCTTTTTTCACTTTTCGAGTTGTGACTATAAATATGATTAATTAATCGTGGTTTATCGACCATTCATGTTTAAAAAATGAAACATGCATACTATGTGAGATAATATTCTAATACCTAAACCTTTATATTCAAGCAGGTTGGTTTATAATATCGACTGAGTACTAATAATGCATACTATGTGAGATAATATCCTAATATCTAAACCTTTATATTCAAGCAGGTTGGTTTATAATATCGGCTGAGTACTAATAATGCATACTATGTGAGATAATATCCTAATACCTAAACCTTTATATTTAAGCAGGTTGGTTTATAATATCGACTGAGTACTAATAATGCATACTATGTGAGATAATATCCTAATACCTAAACCTTTACATTCAAGCAGGTTGGTTTATAATATTGACTGAGTACTAATAATGCATACTATGTGAGATAATATCCTAATATCTAAACCTTTATATTCAAGCAGGTTGGTTTATAATATTGACTGAGTACTAATAATGCATACTATGTGAGATAATATCCTAATACCTAAACCTTTATATTCAAGCAGGTTGGTTTATAATATTGACTGAGTACTAATAAAACTTGATTGAGTGGGGGGCTGATTACTAACATTGTCAGTAGAAGTGTTTCACCTCATACCTACTCTTTATATCGTTTTGAAAGGGATTCCTCCTCTTTTGTAGAACAAAGTTTCTCGCCAACAGAGTGAGTTTTCTAGGTGCTCATACACGGTAACTGGGTCCAAGTGAAGTATATCTGACCAAACATGGCTTTTTTATATCATACATTAATGACTGATAACCATTCAAGATTGACAGTTTCGCCATTAGTGCATGAACCGAATCTTCAGTACGTTAGCTTCTTTCTTTCTCTGTTTTCCACCGACAGGACATATTGGACAAAACACCAAAACTTAGACTTTTCAAAATGACATTCACAGATACTCACTAGAATGAAGAAAATTTATATATTATAGATAGGATCTAATAGTTTGATCGTGACAACAATGCTGCCACATTATACGATATATTCAGCTCTGATTTTCCACTTCATTTGCAGTTGCAATCACTCGAGACAATCGTACATCAACAAATTTCATTACGTAAAAATGTTCTTCTAGATAAAGTAAAGAATCACTCTTCTGACAATATTCACAGTATTGATTCTACATGGGGTAAAATGTGGAAAAGCCCGAAAAAATTTCATAATTTGAGTGCGGCTTCTTGAAGTTATAAAGATTTTCCATGCCATATGCTAATATTGTGACGTATGAGGAGTAATCATTTAATATACAAAACCTTACTGGCACAGATAAATTAAATTTGAAATACGTCATTGTTTTGCGCATTGCTCTTATAGAAATTATTGCAAGCTATTTTTCACATAGAAGCCGGTKTTTCGAATTACAAGGAACAACAAATAACCATAAATGCCTCCTCATACGTCACCGCATTAGCATATGGCATGGAAAAACCTTCATAACTACGAGAAGCTGCACTCAAACTATGAATTTTTTTCAGGTTATTCGACATCTTACCCCATGTAGAATCAATACTGTAAATATTGTCAGAAGGGTGATAGGCACTTTAAAAAAAAAACAACGCTCTTTGATTGAAATTTTTATTTTGGAGTAGACAATTATTTACATGATTGATTAAGTAAATGGCATAATAGTTTGTTTGATTCTAGGCTAAATCTGAATACAGAATACTGTTGAAGAACAAAACTTGTTCAATAGACAAATCCTTCAGTCATTTATAAAATAACTTTATAAATACTTGTATGATAATTGATATGCTATAAGAAGAAATGTTATAATAGGCACATCGAATAACCAAGGCGTGGCTATTTTCGACACCATGTCACTCGACATTTAAGTTTAATCACGAGATTCCTAGCATGGCATCCCATTGCTTAAAAGCACATGTTACTGCAGTGCAAGTAGCCGAGAAGACAAATACAGAATTTACAGGGGGAAGGTGAGTGGAATTGTCCAGGCTGCAAAAAAATAGAAAATGTGTTTTGGTTATTTACGATGGTAAATATCGAAAAATGATGTTTTGACAGAAACACAACAAAAAGAAAAACAAAAGAGGGTAAAAGTTACATTACAATAGAACAATGCAGAACTTAAAATTGAATAACATTACAAAAGCAGTAGACACAGATTAAAGAAAGAAAGGTATAAAACAGAGTACAGGGAATTATGGCAACAAGAAAAAATTGAAGAAATGGCAAAGAAAGCAAGAAAAGAAAAAACAGGGAGAAAAAAACGTGAAGAAAGAGCACAGAAAAGTTGTTGCTTTTTCGCTCCCAGGAAATGTTTGTTCGGATGTGTCAAGATATCACTTACTTTAAAGGTTTTTCCATTGCTTCTGCACTTGCAGTCGACAGGAGAGATGCATTTTCCATTGTCAGCCAGGACTTGGTCGTCAGGGCAGAAACAGCCTTCACTACACTTCCCGCCGCATGGCGCCTTAGAATGGTGATTGGCACATGTCTTGTTGCAACTACATGTCTTGTACACTAGATTTCTCGCCTTGCACTGATCCTCTGCAAATATAACAAAACAACAGTCAATTTGCTGTCTTCCTGGTAATGACATGGTTTTCACATTCCAGTATTTACCTTTACAAATAGGACAGCATTGTCCGGGAAGGACTATTGTTTGACCAGAGTATCCTGGCTTTCTGCAGTCTGGCTTGGCACAAGTTGGAGGTGAACAAACTGTCTTCCCAGACTAGAAAAGAAATCGGAACGTATGTTCATTAAGATATACGCAAGATGACAAGCAACACATCTACAACAACTCCTGCCTTACCTCGCATTTACAGTCCATGCAGCTATCGTTACTAGGATGCCACTTGTCGCCATGGAAATAGATCTTACCACTGTCTCTACACACTGGACATGTGTGGATGCAGATCACGTTATTGTCCTGAAACAAGGTCCATACTAGCGTTATTAACAGTTCTATTAATCTGACCAAGTCAAGATTGAACATTGTGTGACAGACACTGAAGATTGTGTGACAGTCATACCTTGCACTGACAGACATTGCATTTGTCTTTGTTCCACTGCTGACCGTTGCTATAGCTACGACCATCCATGAAACAGCCGCTGCCTCCTTTTGATGGACATGCGCACTAAGGAAAAAGAAGATGCAAGGTTTTGGATCAGCTGTTTACAATTATGGTGTTATGTGTGATTTTGGTAAATGTACTATATTAGATGTAGGTTGTGTAGTTGGTATGGGTTCAGAGTAGTGCACAAGCGGGTGTGTATGCAGGTTACTTACTGGTGCAGGCACGGTTGTGGGTGTGTTACATTTATCAGATGAAGATCCAAGCGATATCTTCACGTCCTGTAGATCTCCCTAAAMAAATTATAAAATGCGCTGATATTTCATCACATCTCAAAGCCTTAACTTAGTATCAATAGGCACAAAAAGGGTTGAAACTACGAGATCTCTTGCTATTACCAGTATTAGTGGATCAGTGAGACAAAAACTTACGATAAATCTGTTGGTGATTTGTCCAGTTCCCTCCATCATGATCTCAAAGGCCTGTGCTAACCGCATTTGACTGTTAGATGGGATAGACGAGAGAGTGTGATCAAACTTGTGCACATCCAACATCTTGTCGTCTAAGTAGAACCTCAAAAGTTTTTCAGTGTCCTGGACGCGTAACGATAGTTTGTGCCATACTGTGACGTCAACGGAGTAGGGTGTCTTGGCTGCTATGGTATTTAGATTACCACCATCAACAAAAGAGAATTCAATTTTCATTTGAGAGGTTTGCCAATCACTCCTGTAATAAAAAATGACAATTTTAGAATCTATTTGTGAATGTGGAACAAACAAGAGTTTGCGCATTTGTATTTACAGGTTTATATATACTTGTTGATGTGCACATTGATATATACAGGTCTATATATACTTGTTGATGTGCACATTGATATATACAGGTCTATATATACTTGTTGACGTGCGCATTGGTATATACAGGTCTATATATACTTGTTGATGTGCGCATTGATATATACAGGTCTATATATACTTGTTGACGTGCGCATTGATATATACAGGTCTATATATACTTGTTGACGTGCGCATTGGTATATACAGGTCTATATATACTTGTTGATGTGCGCATTGGTATATACAGGTCTAT